ATAGGAGGGCCAGCAGGCTCTGTCGAATTTGAATGAGGACAGTATCTTTCGGCGCCATTTTCGAGTGAGCTGCGATCGTTGGAGCAGCTGCTGTGTTTTTCAGCAGGATGCTGCGGACGTAAAGAGACGGAGAAACAGCCACCACCATCGCTTCTCTTCCCTTCTTGGATGGACGATAAAATAGTTTCTTTGACGGGGCGAGGGGAGAAGATGTGGAGTACAGAAGGAGAGAGAGGTATTTGCCGCCGCGCGACATTTTAATTTTGAGTTTTGACGGAGAAGGGGGGGGCTGTTGGAACCAGGAGAGCGACCGTGGTGGATGAGACGTTAGTCTTTTTTGGGGGGGCCAGCCTCGTAGCTACTAGCACGTTAGCTTAGCATATTAGCATCCATCGGGGGCGAGGGGTTGCGGGGCGGGGGCACGACAGAAACCCGCAAAACACAGCGCTCTATTTTCCACCGTTTTTTCCCTCCGAATTGCGGGTGTGGTTGCGTGTATTCGATGGGAGGTGTATTCGCGAAAGTTTTAAATCAAAAGTTGGACCCCCCCCCCTCTTTTTTTTCGGACCCACTTTGAGCGGGAGGTGCACACAGCTGCCAGACTCGCTCGCACGGAGCTGCGCAGTGTCAACAAATGCACCCGGAACCTCCGCTCACTTTTAGGAGGGAAAACGCACAACCGCAGACCAGGACAATTTAAGCAGAATTTCTTTTCATATATTCACCCCACCGCCCACAATTAACCATTTCGAAAGCGTCTTAAATGTATTTAAATTTTATTTTGATAGTCCGAATGCGTTGTTATAACACTGGTGACCAAAGTATGGCCCGGGGGCCCCGTACACGGCCCTATGATCATACATTTTGTAAAGGAATCCTTTAATTTGTTGCATGAAATTAGAGGTGGGTTTTTTTCTGTAAAATTGGATTAAATGTCTTTCATTATTGACTAATTGGGTCATTGATTTGTTGTAAATAATTGAAGTGAGAAATAAGCATGATTAAAAAACATAAATTAAGGCCTCTAAAAATATCTGAGGGTAGCTTAAACCAATGGGAAAAAAATTGTTTTTTTACATCTCAGTGAAGATTGGTTTGCACAAACTATTAATTTTGCAGTGGTCTCTTACATTAATTGTGAGTTAAAAATAGATTTACTGTTAAAATAGCACTGATTGTGTGAAGTGGTACGTGACAGAGTATGATTCCTAGTCAGTGCCCCAATACTCAGCCACATCCAGTGTTAAAAGAAAAAAAATACAAATCATATAAGTGATTTGAAACTCTTTTACACTATTGTAATTGTTTTTGACCTCATCTATCATCGCGCCCATCTGTCTGTAAAAAAAAATAAAAATAAAAAATCGAATGTGACCACTGAATTGCAAAAGGTTGCCTACCCCATGGTTAAGATGTGTTCAGTTCTATGCAATCGACATCCTCCCCTGTGTCCTTTACACATTTAGATATTTTATTGTTGTATTACCCAGACTTAAGTGCTTTATTTGTTCATCCAAATGGCTTCTAACAATTGTGTCTAATATGCCCACTGGCCCTGACATCCAGTCCAGCATTCAGAGTAAAAAAAATTAAAAGAAAAAATCTTCCACACTGAAACCAAACAGTTGGCTGCTGAGTAAATTTCACTTTTGGATGCTATAAACATGTACCGGTAATTATAATTATATGCCCACGCCCTCCTTTTTACCCTCCTTCCTATGATGAGTCATTTTAGTTTTTATGAAATAATTGAGCACATTTTCATTCTCTTTATACATTATGACCATTTATCTGATGGTAATCTTTCTCTTATATCTTAATCGTTTGTAGAATAGCAGAATGGGCCAGATTAAAAGCTCTTGGGTGCCCTATATGGCCCGTAGGCTTTTGTTTGTGTCCCTGCGTCTAAAGGAAGATCGGTTTAATATGTTACATAATCATAGGCCTTCCTGTCCTTTTTATGGAATTCGAACGGTTTGAATGGTTGCTATTATGCGTCTTCATCAAAAATATTTATAGCATAATATTTTGAATTTGTGTGAATGTAAGAAATCTTTTGTTTTTTTTTTTTTTTCTTTTTTTAGCGTATTCTGTAGTGTGCTGCAAATGACTTAATGCAATATGGAGAGAAATTTGTCTCCCCTAGTAGAGCATAAAAGCATGTGGAGGAAGGAAATTACTGTTGTGTAAAATCTGATATTTTGGGGGGGGGGGGGGAATTCACATGGACTCACTTCATCCAAAAAAAAAAAAGGGGGGGGCCAGGCAACTTTAAATGACACTCATTTTACTCCCTCACGTGCACCCTTGTGTGTGCTGTCATGCTCCAGTGTAACGTTCACATGATTTTAGAAATCGAGTGCAGCTGTGAAACCACTGTCTATGTCACCACTGTCTATGTCCTTCAAAACAATAGCAGTAGCTATCATACGGAATTAAATTACTTCAGTTATAATTCAATACAGTTATTGAAATACTTAAAATCCTTCTCAGGAACTGCTGGGCGTTTTTTTTTTTTCCTGCCGAGCCAGCATATGTATTCAAATCTGTCAGAATCACTCAATATTAACAAGGAAGGTTTCAGTTTTACACAATCCGTTGCTTTGTCTTTTTCATTTTGTAGTTTTGATTGGTCAGATCTAATCTTGCCAAGACTGTGCATCCAATAGTAATAGTAAAGCTCATAATGATAATAATAATAATACATCATGTAGTAGTAATCCCTGTAGCCTCATGGATCACTTTCTGCTGTTGGTTATGGGTAATGTGGCTATTACAAAGCAAGGTTTATAAACATTTTCATACAATACAATATCAATATCAAGTCAATTTAAGGTATATTTTAAAAAAGTGTGTGTGCACAGTATTCAAACCCCACACACACACACACACACACACACACACACACACACTGAATATAATCTGCAGCGGATGAATCTGTTCCAGGGTCAGTCACCATCGTAGACTTTTATTAACTGCACAGATATTTTATCTGAATTCCTGACTGTCATACAAGTGGGAATCCTGTAATGTGAATTAATCTGTTCCAAGGCCAAACTGTCACCATCATAAAGATTAAAAGAGGACAGACATTTGAGCAATTCTCACTTTCATCAATGCACTGTATTCCAAGTCTACAATAACGTAGAACTACGGACTCTTTGATGACACGTAATGGTCAGGGAACAGGAAGGCGCTTGTGGACCCATAAAAAAAAAAATTGTATGTTGTGTGGAATGGTATCTGTGTTACTAAAATCTACTTGCATTGTGAAAATGAGTAATCAGATTAATTTTCCCCTGTGGTTTTATTTATTTATTTGCATTTTGCTCTCTTTACCATCAGTGGCTCGCAAAAGAAAATAACCAAAGGAGGGAAGGGGGAAACTTTTAAAGTTACACCTTAAGATGCTCGCATGGTGATTGTTTGACCTCCAAGTTTTGTTTGACTTTTGGGTGTGTCTTCATGTAAATAATGATGATTATTGTTTTAGTTAAACGACTATTATAACTGTCTGTGGCGTTAGTATTCCAGTTTGGCTACCTGTTCTCTGCCTTTTTAATTTTTTTTTTTTCTTTCTTTAACAACAGTCTTTGTAGAGCGTCGTCGTGCCATTTCAGACTGTGTGACATTCTGTGACTCATCACTCTGTCTTCTTTCCCGATCCCTCCGGCAAAATGGACTCCCACCCCCACCGCAATCCCTCAATTCTCGGAGCGTCTTCTCTTCTTCCCCTTCTTCGTGCTCACATGTGTTGTACCCCTCTACCCCTCCTTCACCCCATCCTCCACATACACCGCCGTGACTCTTCCTCCTTTCTGCACTGCTCAGCACAAAGTTTACGCCTTATTTTGGCCGTCTGTCTTCCATTAGAATTAGGTACAATACAAGCTGTCATGTTTGCATGCCGCCTCCTTCGCAGACAAGTGCTGTGATAGTGTAAGTAGTTCAGGCCCTCCTCGGTGTTCTTGTCGAAATGATTGCAGTCACATTGTCCCCATTATACACGGAAAGAGAAATAGCATAACATTAAGTCAAAAAAAAACTTTGAGAAAGTATTTGCTCAACTGCTCCCGTACTTGTTTTGGTCTGTTCCAGCATTATTTAATTCAGTGAGCTGCGGGGAACAAAATGGTGCGGTTTATTTATTTTCCCCCAATTGTTAAAATACTAAATGCATGTGTGTGAACAACGTCAAAATAATGAAATATGTCTGAAGGTTTACCTTAAAAAAAAAAAATCTACCTTAGGACTGAACACCGCATAGCATCACTGTCTTTTTGTAATTGACGTACTTCTGGTTCCTTTTTTTTTTTTTTTTTTTTTTTTTTTTCCTATGACTTGGACTTCTTATGTTGAGAGTCATGTGCATTTAGTTATTTTTATTCAAAAATAAATGGAGCAGTGATTAGAAGCATCCAGTAAACAATTGTTTTTCTTTCTGAGAATGAAGTACATGGGTACTTCTGGTTATTTATTTATTGGGGTTCCACATTTGCTGTGCCAGTGAATCCCTTCCACTGTGGGTCATTTGAGGTAAAGCTATCAGTGTGGCGTAAGATGCATTCTCATTGCACAGTTTGCTTTTCTGCCACACCAGCCCTTTTCAGCAGCTTTGTAAGAATGTTTCGTGAATTAAGACAGTGTTAATCTTGTCTTTGAAAAAAAAAATAAATGTTACAATATCCAATATTTTAATTACAATAAAATGTGAGTCATCTGCAAGGTCTATTTATCTTAAAATTTCGCCCCCCCACCCCCACCCC